GGGCAAGCTGGACCAGGATCCTGACACTCGGACCATGTGATTTGCTTTGTTTCCACAGCCTGAAGACATCTGGGGACACTTGGGTTATAACATCATTTTTTTAAAAAGATTTTATTTATTTATTCATGAGAGACACACACACAGAGAGAGAGAGAGAGAGAGAGAGAGAGAGAGAGACAGAGACATAGGCAGAGAGAGAAACAGGCTCCCTGCAGGGAACCTGATGTAAGACTCGATCCCAGGACCTGGGGATCACGACCTGAGCTGAAGGCAAACACTCAACCACTGAGCCACTCAGGTGCCCTGGGTTATAACATTATTAAGCCAGTTTTTATATAAAGCTTTTATGCAGGGTACTTTCACACATGCTATTTAATCATCAAAACAACTTTGAGAAGTACTATGATCTTGGTTTTCCAAACGAATAAAACTAGCTTCAGGAAGCTTTAGTAGCCTGTTCAGAATCCTCTAGCTATCACATGGTGGAGCTGGGCCTTCTTCCTGGGCCTTCTGACTTCAAGTCAGGGACTTCTGTTGCCCTGCCGCCCTCTCCCTGGCAGGCTGGCATATTGGATTCTCTTCAGTAAAACGCTGACCTCTGGTGGACATTTCTTGAACTGTTTTTTTGGGTGGTTTTTTTGGTTTCCGGGTTTTTGTTGTTTTAAAACCCCCAGATACTGGATGCAGCAGAAGACCCAGAAACATTCTTTTGAAAGCTGAACATCCCTGTATTTAGGCTTTGTCAGATTTGAGGATAAGAACCCCAAAACACATACTTCAACTATCTCCAAACTTTTCTAAGAATTGGGTTCAATATCAAGCGTGTTACATTTTGCCACTATGATCAGGGATTTCATAATGTTATGAAGAGGAAACACAAGATTATTTGGTTTCCCCAAGATTTGCAAGACTTTTGCCCCAATTTAACATCTACAGTTATAGCATAATTTATGCCAAAAAAAGAAGCTCTGAGTGTGTCTACTAGTCTTAACTAGACTAAGTAGAAAACCTTCTACCTTCAACTTAAATTAAAATATAGTCAAAATATACTGCTGACTTGGTAAAGAACCTTTCTCTGAAGGTAAGCATCATTTACCTCCTTTGCATTTCCAGATGCTACCAGACAGGGTTCACTCTGGGGGAGCAGCTGTGAGGACTTGAACTCAGGAGCCTTCTGGTCCAGGGGGGTCTTGACCTGGGCGTGCCCAGACCACCCCCAAACCAGTCTCTGGAGATGGAGTTGGCCTTCCATCAGTTTTGGTAAAGCTCCACAGGTGAGCCTAATGAGAACCACAGACCTGGTCTCATCCCCTCCCTTTGTAAGTGAGAACATGGAGGTCCAGAGAAGAGATGGTATTTGGTCTGCTACTTAGTAGGGAAATTCTGACTAGACTAGGAAAGCTTTAAAAACCAGATGGAGTCCCATACTTTCAGGTTTGCAGTTTCAAATGAGCTGTTCCATGATTCTGTGGTCTTCCAGGGCAGACCTCGAAGTGACCGAAAAGGCCACATTCCTCTCCGAATCTTGCCCACCTTCCCTCCCTGTGCTTTGCTCTCCTACCCAAGCCCCCGACCTCCCAGCCACCCTGATTGCCTCCTTGTCGCTTTCACAGGCGGCCCAGGCCTGCCTTTTCCGAGCCACTTCCCAGGCCCTGTGCTATGTAAGGGAGCCAAAGGTGGCCTTTGCATATTGGCCCCTAGGTCGCTGATTTCTTCACAGTGAGCTGAGACCTATTCGCTCCAAAGCCCACCTGAGGCCAAATTCAAATGTTTACACAACCAATTGTTTTACACATCACCCAAATAAGCCGTGTTTTAGCCATTTAGAGCCTGCCTGCTTTGCATACCCCACAAAGCTATTCCCAACATCTGCTAGCCAGGGATAATGGTCAGGTCATGAAGAGTCCAGCTGATGCTGCGCTGACCCAGACATTCCCCACTGTGCTGCTAGTGACATCACCTAGACACATGAGTACCCTCTCTCTCTCTCTCTTTCTTTCTCTCTCTCTCTCTTTCTTTCTTTCTCTCTCTCTCTCTCCTCCCCATGCTTGCCTCTCCTCCTAAGTAGCAACTTCCTACCTACCGAGTAGCCTCTGAAAGGACTTCCAAGCCTGCGGGGAAGGGCACCTGTCAAAGGGTAGCCCGGTAAAGCCCATGTACATTACTGCCACCTTGTGGCCATATCTTTCTCCTTGATGAGCTCCAAAATCTCTACAACCTGCAACAACACCCTCATCTTTTTCCCTTCTTCTAGGTTTCTTTCAAAACTTCCCTGGCCTAAGTTCCCTGTCTTCCCAAATTTTCTGACCCATGTAATACATTAATTCCTACTGATGTATCACTGGCCAATTCATCCAATATTTATTGGCCAACCTGTACAGATCACTTACTGATCTAGGTACTTGGGGTGCGTCGTAGAACAAAACAGGTAAAAATCCCTGCATGTGTGGAGCCGATGATGTTCTAACAGGACAGTATGGGCTTAAAGCTTTTCTTCTCTGTATCTCTTTTTAAAAGAGTTTACTTATTTATTTAGTTTGTTTTTAAAGATTTTATTTGTTTATTCATGAGAGACACAGAGAGAGGCAGAGACACAGGCAGAGGGAGAAGCAGGCTCCCTGCTGGGAGCCTGATGCAGGACTTGATCCCAGGACCTCGGGATCATGCCCTGAGCTGAAGGCAGACGCTCAACTGCTGAGCCACCCAGGCATCCCAAGATTTCATTTATTTATAAGAAAGAGAGAGAGCAGAGGGAGAGGAACAAGCAGACTCCATGCTGGTCATGGAGCCTGACACAGGGCTTGATCTCAGGACGCTGAGATCATGACCTGATCCAAGTGAAAACCAAGAGTTGAATGCTTGACCAACTGAGCCACCCAGGCATCCATAAAGCTTTTCTTCTTAAAAACACTTTAAGCCAGAGAAGAAGGTTTTAATAAGGGAGTTTGGGTATCATCAGTGAGCTAGTGGGAGGAATGTTGAGGACATGGGTTAGGTTTATGAGAGTCAGTTTAACAAATGCACCTGAGTTTATACACCACATGAGGGCTGCTCTTTGAAGCAGACCTTCTTAAACTTGAACCTGGATTGAATTACCTGGATATCTGCTCAAGATGAAGATTCTAAGTCAGGAAGTCTGGCATGAAGCCTGAGACTCTGCGTTTTAACTCTTCAATACTGCTGCTGCTGCTGCTGCTGATGATGATCTGGGTACCACACTTTGAGCACCAAGGCTTTCAAGCAGATTCCCTTGAGCACTGACTCTTCCAGAACTGATAACAGTAGTACTACTACACAGAAATATTGCAAAGATTAAATAAGTCAGCCTTGTGCCTTAGTTATTACCTGCATTTAGAGATGAGGAAACAGAGCATCCAAGACATTAACTCACTTGTCTGTGAGTACTCTTTGCAAACGGGAGAGCCAGAACATTTTAGAGCTCATGTGCATGGCTGTCTCATGGCCTTGTCCATTATTTACCTACAATTGGCTGTTTGATCTAATCACACAAAGTGGCTGAGCCTCATGTTTTCCCCTTCTGTAAGAGCAGGGCAGGGTGGCTATAGAGCCCCACAAGTATTGTCGATACTGGTACCATTAAGCCTCGAAGTGTTTTCAGCCCTGAACTTCCCACTTTACCAAACTGAATTCTATCTGCCACCTGCACCCTTCTCTGACACACAGCATTGTACCCACACTAACTCATTTTATCCCCCAATCATCCTTGAGGAGCAGGTGTGGCTCCTTCCATCTTCCATCTGAGGAAGAGAAAGCTGACCTGAGGGTGGCCTCCTCCAAGGAGCCGAGACCTTGACAAGAGCGTAAAGATTTTCTCCAATTAACCAATTGGTAAACAGGTTGCCTTTTAACCTGTTGAAGTTATTTTTAGTGATGAAATCTCCTCTTCCATCAAGGGGATGCGTGAAGTCCGGTCTGTAAATGGAGAGGATCAGAGGGCTTAGCTGGAAGTGGGTTCGAAGCATGGAGCTCAGCCTTGTGACTTAGATTTGTGGAGTTTGGTTCTGTTTCCTGGGCCTTGGAGAGAAGTCCAGGGAACGCTGTTTGCAAAGCCCATCTAAGTCAACAATCTTTGGAAACAAGTGAGCAGCAGGCCCCAACGAGGGAGGCAACCCAGCTGGGCCTGACTCAAGGACTCCGGAGACCACGTCCAGAAGTCAGCGGAACCCAAGCAGGAGGAGGGACCGCACTATGTTTGAGGACAGTCTTGCACTCCCACCTCACAGGGCCAAATTCAGTATTCTACTTGGAGTTCTCATCATTCCCAGTGCCCCCTTTTCTCACACCTCAGAGGGGCAAGGTTTTTTATTTTTTTAGATTTCAAAATTATGAAATATAGCACACACACAGAAAACTGTCTAATCACATTCATGCCCAGAAATAGTGTTGTTCAGATCCTTTTTTTTTGTTGTTGTTGTTGTTCAGATCCTAAAAGCCTCTGGGCACTACCCCCCTGACCCTCTGTCTCCCAGGAGTCACTTAGAAACTCCACTTTCAGACACAGCCCGCCCCTGCTTCTCCATGTTTGCACCACCTGTCTACACAGCTCTCCCTGCAACTGCTCAGTTTTGCGTTTTAGCTTTATGTAAATGGAATCATGCTCTGTGCATGCTTCTGTGATTCTTGACTCCACACCATGTGGATAAGATGCATGTTTTGTGGATTGCAATCCATCCACTTTCTTTGCTGTTGAGCATTGCATTGTGTGAACACACATGATTTCTGTTTCGTTCTTCCGTGATGGGTGTTTGGATTGTTTTCTACTGGGGGATATTGTGGATAATGATGCTACACACCTTCCTGGCAGGGAGATTTGCTCTCATGTATCCAGAAAGAGTGAACCCCAAAAAAGAAAAAGACTCTCAGAAGAGAGGCAATCAGGCCTAGTTCCTGGGGTGAGAAAAGGCCCATTGGCCTCCTCATTTCCCAAGGTCTCCATGCACCAAGCCTGGCAAGGCCCTAGACACAGCCAGTGAAGTAGATGAGTTTTTAAGATTTTATTGTAAAACAGAGCTTAAATCACAGAGAGTAGAAAACTTTCTACTCAACACATACAACGCACATTCAGTGAGCACGTGCTAAGGGCCGGAGCTGTGTGCTCAGCCCTGCAGGGGCCCCAAAACACAGAGGTCCTGCTCCCTGCTCTTGGGAACTCACAGTCTGGTGTGGGAGACAGACAGAGACACAACCTTTCAAACAAGTCTCAGAGTGTCAGAAGTGCTAAAATGGTCCGAGAGTAATTCCTCCCTCCCAGGAACAGCAGAGCCACATTGATGCCCTGGCCTGGAGCTGGGAGTTTTGATGGTAGAGATGGGGTAGGAGAAGCACTGCAGGTGGCTGTCAAAGGTCTGGAGTGGAGATAGTACCTAGCTGGAGCAGTGGGGCCAGGCTTTAGGAACGTCACAGAAAGGAAAAAAAGTAGAGACCAACATAACACACTAACGTCATTTTTGCAGGTCAGGACGTTACAAAAATAAGACAGAGAAATCAAAAGGGAGAGCTACTTTCATCCTTGCCCACCCTTTCGAGAATGGACATAGTGTCTAAATAAAGGACTCTCCTTGAAACTGGATGAAATTGGCTTCAAAGGAAAGCCAAGATGAAATCCTTATCTTCCATCTTGGCACAGACTCTAAGGTTTCCCCACAGAACAGCATCGGTTTGCAAAACACAAGGTTTGGGAGGCCAGCAAAGGGGCAGGAGGGATCCAGGACATAGACATGGGGCAAGGGAGGAGAGCAAGGAGTTACGGAGAGGAGAGCAGGGGGCCAGGCTGGCCAAGCAGCCTGGCTTTAATCCAGAAGGCAGAGGCAGCCCTGAAAGGCCCGGAGCAGTGCTGCAGCTAGAGGTGCACTTTAGAAAGACCACTGTGGAGGCAGCATTGAGGTTGGCTAGCTGAGGAGGCTGGAGGCAGGGTCCCGTTACCAGGGCTCTCATACATCCTTCTGAGGGTCCACCCCACCGAGGCTGCTCCTCAGAGCCTCCACCACAGCCAGGAGACCCCGGGCAGAATGGAGAGGCATCTCTGGAGTCATTGATGTGTTGGGAGTGGGGGGGAAGCACGGAATGGACACACTATTATTCCTTCTGGAAGTAGAACTTGGTGACCATCATGGCCTCTTCTGGTCTGTTGGTGAGGCTGACAGGCCGGTCGGCCTCCAGTGCTGTGCAGAGGAACCAGCCAGGGCAGGCAGCAGACTCAAAGCTGGTGGTGGGGCCACTGTCTGAGAGGATGAAGGTGAAGCGCTTGTCTTGATCCTTGTTCTTACTCAGGTCAGTGATGTTAACTGCCTGGAAGCCAAGAAATGAGCAGTGAGAGCTGAGGAGCCCAGAGGTCCCATGCTGCCTCCCTCTCCCCGCCATGATTTTGCCTCTGGCTGGCCCACAAGTGCTGGAAAAACAGTGACCACGGACCATTGCAGTAGGCCATGTGTCCTGGGTCTCTAGGATAGCAGCGACACAAAGAGGCTGTCCCATCATCACACCTTGACTTTGGGAAATCTGGCCACTCTAGCCATGGGCCAATATGTTTGGTGAATGCATGGCATCAGCAGCAGAGGCCAGTGCATGTGGAGGCTGATGCTCTGTCAGGGCCTGTGCCACTGGTAAGAGGGCATGGTGGAGAAGGTGGGCAGAGAGTACTGTAGTCCACTCAACACAGTACATACAATGTCCTGGTCACTCCTACTCCACACGGAGTAGTCACCCTCCAAAAGAATGCCCCTGTCCACTGGTGGGGGGAAGAGACAGGGCCACTGTTATAGCCACTCACATTGGGTTAAGATCTTGTCCAACAAGTCCCTGAGACAAAGCCATCTTTTCCCAGGGCTGGCAGCCCATTAATACTGCAGGGATCAAGGAGTACAGGGCCCTGGATAGGCTGCCAACTTGTGGGTTTGTGTGGATAAAGATTAAAAGAGGAAAGTCCTGAAGCTTGGCTTCACTGAAAGAGGGCAAGTCTCAGTGGGTTGGAGGCCCTCAGGCAAGAGAGTGGCATGCAGAGAATGAGGCCCCCAAATGAACCATCCTTCCTGTCTCCCTCCCTTATTGAGACTAGATTCTGCTCCATGACTAGCTTCAGCCAATGGGACGTCAGCGGTGTGATGTCAGCAGGGGTTTAACAGGCATTTGCACATTGTCTTTTTGAACTAATCTCTCTGGGAAGCCAGCAGCCATGCTGTAAGGAAGCGCAAGCTGGCAGTGCAGCTCTGAGAGAGCACGTGGAACAAGAGCCTAGAGGGTGAGAAACCCCCTCAGGCACACCTCCCCCCACCTCCGTGTCAGCAGAGCTCCCTGCTGAATGCCACTCTGGGAGGGGTGCAGGCTATGCCAAGTGGAGCACAATTGCCCAGCCTCGCCTGCCTAATCAACCCACAGAGTCCCGAGAAAGAACACGGTACAGTTGCTCCAGCCACCAGGTTTGGTGTGGTCATTATCTGAGACTGGTTCTTACCTCCAGCTGGAGCCTGGTCTCATCTCCAGACTTGACACAGGCCAGGCACAGCTTCCCCCCATGGATTCCCAAGAACACGGCATGAGGCTCGACGGGCACAACATCTAACTTCTCTGGAGGAAGAGCAGAGGGCAGAGTCAGGTTGTAGAAAGAAGAGGAGGCAGCCTAGACTCTCCCAGGAGATTTTTCTGTCTCCCTCCCGCCACCCTCCACCAACTAAAAACCTAAGGTCAAAAGGATGCTGAGGCCACATCATCCTGGTCTGCATTCAAACAGAAGATCAAACCAAGCACTCTATCAAGTTACTCCTCAAGTTCCCTGTCACCCAGATTCTGCTCCTCATGGGTTCTATCCTCCCTTCTCCCCAGGACACATGTGCTCCTGGTCACCAGGGGTGCTGCCCATGGGCAGGGAAATAGCACACAGTGGACCCCAGGGCTACACACAGGGTCTACAGGGACCTGGGTGACTTTGAAGCTGCCTCTTACCCTTGGTAGTCTTTGAGCCCTCACATAGCTGTGAAAATCTCAGCCTTTCTGCTCTTTGGCATGTCCATTAGGAGAATTAACATAAAGACAGGGAAGGCAGGTCTCATGCTCTCTCTGAGGGAGGCAGAGGGCCAAGAACAAGGGGATGGGGCAGGGTGGGAAGGTGGAGATCACGCCATCCTATAGTACCACGTCAGCAACAGGGCCATGAAAACATCCCAGAAGGCTAGCGCTGAAAGACTCTCCCCCATCTGCCATCACACTGGCCTCATTTTAGCAAAGAAAAAACTAAGGGATGGAGTAGGAGAAGCCTGCCCATGTTCATGCAGCTTGTTTTGAGCAAGGACCAGAAGATGGCTGAATATGGTGTCTGTGAATGAGGGGCATAACCCAGGCCCAGATATGGTGTATTCATTCTGGGTGGTAGTTAGGGTTTGATCAACATAGGAACATGGAAGGCTTAATAGTCACAGGAGGGAAAAGGAGCAACTTGCCTTCTGTGCCCTACACCTGCCAGCTGTGGCTCTGGAACACTGTGCCAGTAGCTGGGGGCTCCTGACCTAGGATCTGACCCTGCTGCCCTCTGGAGGCTGCCCTCAAGTGTGCGCTCTAGTGGCCAGGCCTCCCCCAGCTTCCAACTCGGCCACAAACACCCAAGTGGGGATTAAGACTTTGAACCTAAGGTTTTCTGGGGGGCAAGCTGGAGACTCCATGGCAAAGTGACCCAGGACCCACACAATGTCCACTTGCCTGGCAACCACTCACCTTCTAATTTAGTATTTGATCCTTGCAAGTATCCAGCGACTAGTTGGTTATTCCTCAGGTAGAAGGTCTTCTGGTTAACATCCCAGATTCTGAAATGTGAAAGGACCCAGGTACAGTGAGACACTTCTATGGGCCCAGCCCTGTGCTCCACCTCTTCCTGTGTCTCTCAGAGCTCACTGAATCTGCATTCAACTTTTGGCCAGGAGTGTGGCCAGGGGTGTGGTATTTTTTTGGGGGGGTGGGTATTTTAGCACATCCCTGGCATGGAAAGACTGAGGTCAACACTAAGAGGCAGGCCCAGCTGGAACACAAGGCACCCACATTCTACCCCTCTCTTCATCTTTCTCTTCACCCTCAGATTCCCAGAGCAGACACATTCTACTCCAGCAAAACATGCTCTAGAGTAGCATCATCCAATACAACTTTCCAGGGGCAGAAATGTTCTATATCTGCACTGTCCAATATGGTAGCTGCCAGCCGCATATGGCTATCTATCGAGCGCTTGAAGTGTGGTGTGACTAAGGATCCAAATTTTTAACTTAACTTAATTTTTATTAATTTAAGTATAAATTTAAAGAGTTATCTGTAACTAGAGGCCATCATGGCAGTTTCAAGGGACAAAGCACGCTGCAGCTAACTCACTTGGAACCTTAGATGATGAGGGTCTCTTCCCAGTGCCAGTCTTCTATCACTCAGTGGCTGCTCTGGATCTGACAGGGGCAGCCCTCCCTGGGAACGAGCCAGCTCACCCGGGGGCTCCCAGTCTTTTCTCCTTGGTGAAGGGCTTAGAGCAAGGCTTGCAGAACCCCAGCCAGAATGTGGACCCTCCATTCCCTGCTGCCCACCCATGTGACCTTGGACCTGTGCCTCATCTCCTCACAAATGAAATGTGGCTGACAATACCCATGTCATCAGGTGACTTTGGGGAGCTCATGAGCTCAGTGAGGGGTGGTTGGACCAACTGCAAAGGTCTTTGCACACATGAGCATTTGACCTTTCCAGATTATTCTGAGTTCCTGGATGAGACTCCTACTGGAGACCTTTAGGTGCATCTCCTGGAGCTCCCAGCCAGTAGGAGGCAGCAGAGGTAAACCTCGGGAAGCCTGGAAAGTGGAGGTATCTGGTGTCTGGAAAGGGGAGGGATGCACCCACCCACATACACACACACACAGAATCCTGAACTGCAGCCTCAAGCTAGGAAAACTCAGTTTGAGGGTGATGTGACTCAGTCCTGAGATATCACAGGACCCAGGGCCCATGAGGACAGCGTCACAGCCTGCCGATTTTCCAACAGTGCTGGTGACATCTCACAAAACTCCTGGCCCAACTTTTAAAAGATCACGGTAGTTTTCTGGCCCTGTGTGATGTTCACGACAACCCAGTAAGGCAGGCAGGAAGGAGGTGATCCTTAACCCCACGTTGCAGATGGGGAGACTGAGGCCCCCAAGAGTCCTCCACCATGTCAATACAGATCTGCAGCGCTAGTCAGCAGTCGCCACCCAAAGTGGCTCTCCTGCTTCCTTGCCCGGCAAAAAGCCCCAGCGTGGCTCCTCCGCATCTGTCTGTCTGTCTGTCACTCACTGAATTGCCAGAGTCTATGGGAGAAGAAGCCAGGCTTCTGGCCAAGTTCTGCCCATCTTGAGCTCTTCTGAAGCACAAGCCCTGATGACCACGCATGTGGCTCCCCTTTCACGAATCACGGACATGCTTTTCCAGCCCAAACTCAGCCCAGTCTCAGGCACCGCAGAAGCCAGAGGCCCCCGATGGCTGTGGTGGCTCCATTTCCCGGTCTGTCCACTCCCCCTCCTGGGGGTCCGCCTTACCTGAAGGCCTGCATCCTGCAAGGTCTCTTCCCCAAGGGACGGCAGGCTGTCTCTGAATGGGACAGGAAAAGGAGGAAAGAGATTAGGTAGCTGAGAGGACACCTGCTGGTTTCCATTCGGTGGCCACAGCGAGACAACGGGACACTGCCATTTCGGCCCGGAGTCGCTGCTTATAAAGAAAATAGTCACTCACCCAAGCCAGGCTGTTGCCGCCCTGTCCTGCTCTGAGAAACGGAAATGCCCCCACATTTCCAAAATGAGAAACCCTTGTTGTTGTCACTTTCAACCGTGCTGAGTGTCGCAATGGGGTGTTGTAATTGATTCCCTCCCTCTTTTTCCCCTGTGCAATTTCCCCAAAATTAAGATTTCTATTTCCCCTTCACTGAGTTCCTGGGAAGAAGAGCACAATGAAAACTGAACGCCTTTATCTGCCTGACAGGTATCCTGAGGCTGTTTGTTGACTTTTTAAAAAAATAAATTTAAGTAGAAAATTCCTCCTTCCTAATCAGTCCAGCAGTAGGGCTCCTCAGCACACAGGATGGTCTCATGTCACTTCGTGTTCTCTGAAGGGGGGACAGCCTTGCTGGACTCTGGACCCGGGACCAGCAAACATTCTGTGAAGGACAGGATAGCAAATATTTTAGGGCTTGTCCCTGTCACGATTTCTCAACTCAGCTAGCGTCTATCGTAGCTTAAACAGTAGTAGGTGATCTGTAAATGACACACTGATTATGTTCCAATACAACTTTATTTACAAAAAGTGGTGGCTGGATCAGGTTTTGAAGTTTGCTGACTCCTACTATGGAGGAAATTTCCTAAGAGGTGCTTTGAAGCCAGCGCTTTTCCTACTAGCCAAGTCTTTAAAGTTATGGTCTTGGGAAAATGGGATCTACCCAGCTCAGCAGTTGTGTAGAAACGGGTCCAAATTTCACCCCTTTCATGTGCCACTTGCTACCCGTGTGACCTGGAACAGGTCACTTACCTCCTCTGCCTCGGTTGCCCAGTGGGAGATTGTTCATGTCTTTCTCATGGGTGAAAAAAAGAGGGAGGAAGGAGGGAAGGAAGAAAGGGAGGGAGGGAGAAATTCTAGCCTGCAGTGAGCACTAATAAGCATCACCTTCTTTCCTTCCTACATTCTAGAAGTTAGGGAAAATGTATGCATACTCCTATTTACGGATAGGGAAAACACGGACAGGGCTTCACATGACCAGAGCACATAATGCTAATGCAGAAGTGCAGATGGCAGCATTGGAGAACTGGCTGGGAGCTCAGCCTTCGTCCTATCCCACCCTATCATTATTCTGAAGAACACCAAGAAAGACCCAGAGAGGGAAAGGGACCTGTCCAAGGCCACACAGCTCATGAATGGCAAAGGCATGTCCAGGAATCCAGGTCTTCAGACTCCCAGACAGTGTTCATCCTGTGACAGCAACTGATCTTGATGAGTCTGACTTTATTCTCAACCAAAAAAAATCAGTGTCCATGTCCAAATGAGAGTAAAATCCTGTAAGGAGGAAGGCTATACTATATACTTGAAAGTTGGTCATAAAAGTTCTCTTCACAAGAAAAAAGGTATTTTTATAACTATGTATATAAAACAGGTGGTGGGTGAATTGCTATGTTGTACAACTGAGAGTAAAATAATGTTATATGTCAATTATACCTCAATTAAAAATTTTTTAAAAATGAAGGTTACAAATGAATATCTCAAATCTTTGAAGAGCTCCTCTTTCAGAGTAAATGGAACATTTCTGCAAAAGTTGTTTCACCTCCCTGTGTGATTACTTTGAGGGGCAAAGTGACATGTACGTGTCCCCTCTGTTCTCACAAGGTGAGTGACCTTGACAGAGACATTCACCTTTGAAACACATGCAAGAAATAATATCTACCTTTGAGGGCCGGGGGGTAGGGGTGAGTTCTGTTTGTTTGGGGGAAGGCTGGCTGAAGGACATGACCTTTAAGAACCTGCTTGATTATTTGCCACTTGCAGCATTTGCTGAGTTGGGGGTTACAGTTTCTGAAACAACTACGAATCATCAGAGGCCTAAACTGGTCACCACCCCTGCTGAGATGGAAGGCAGCTAGCCCCCACTGTGATCAGTTCTCTCCTACTTGTGTTTTAATGCCTTTGCTGAAGCCCTCCTCAATGTTACCTCAGCATCCCTTGAAAAGCTTGCTTGAAGACTGAAGAGGAGGAAAGACTTGCCCAGGGGAGACTGGGGGACTCTGTCCTGACTGCCTGCTGTCAGACAGGTCCCACCCATGCTGTGGCTCCTGGGTAAATGCTCCTCTGTCCCCATCCCAAATTCAGAGAGAAAGATATCTCCTGGAGAGCAGAACCCTGGGTTCTCCACCTTTGCCAGGTCTGCGCCTGAGAAGTGGCCTGGTAGGCCTTTTCTGGGTGGAGAGGAGGGAGTCCCTAGGATCGGACCAAGAAGTCAAGCTGACCTGGGGCTGCACTCTCCCATGTCACTTGGGAGCTGGGTCACCCAGGCTCTGTTCTCAAGGCCTCGGTTTCATTATCCATTAGATGAATAATGAAACTGAGGCCTTGTCACCGGTACTGTGAGGACTGAGATGTTGCACAGGGTGTATTTCACCCTGACCCTCCATGTAGGAAATACTCACCCAATAGAAAGCTATTATGTCTCCTTCTTCACCCCCACATAGAGTGGGAGAGGTGGGAGAGGTCATTCGCAATGCCCCTAACCCCTCAACCCTTCAACCCTGCCCTGTACACCAGGCTGGACTCCAGAGGGGGAGGCCCTCATCTGTCGGGGCTGGAGGGGGAAATGAGTAGGGGAGGAGAGGCTCCTTCCCTCCCCTCACGCTTCTGGCTGCAATTCCACTCTTGGTTCCGTCTTATCAAAAATAGTTGGCGTCCCTATGATTTCTGCCTACAGGAAATCTCTGACTAACCTTATTCTCAGTTCCGGGTGCTCAGCTCTGCACTCCAGTTCCTGAATTCAGGTTAATGACCACACCATTGTAGTGGACCCTGCTTTCCTGGTCAGCACCTTACACTCTCCCTGCAAGCTCCAGACATCACAGCTGTATCTAGTATCTTCTATACGCCGAGCCCTGCCCTATCACACACTAGTGACAGCAGAAGTGACTAAGGCCCCCTCAAAGGGAAATAGGACAGCCATGTCTTTGGAGTGATACTGGACAAGCTCTACAAGTCCAAGCACTGGGCCCCTGTGGGCGCCTCTAGAGCACCATCCGCAGAAGAAGTGTTCAATAAACGCTATTTCTCAATTTCAGCTAATTGCATCTTCGATTCTAGGATTTCCATCTGCTTCCTTTTTTTTGGTATACTTTCTGCCAAAAGTCTCAGTCTCGTCTTTCAGATCTTTGAACACAGTACTCATGGTTCTTGTAAAGGTTGCACCTGAGAGCTTCATTATTTGAATCTCTGCTGGGTCGCCTTATGCCATCTGATTTTGTCTGCTCCACAGGTTGTCTTGCAAGTGCCTGACTACTTTTTATCGACTGCTGGGCACCGTAGTATATCAAACATTGTAGAGATCATTTGAGGCTCTGGACAATATTGTAGTTGCCTAGAGAGAATTCCCTTTTGCTTCTGCTGGGCAGTGAGGCTGTGTGCTGCAGCTCCAGGTGACCATCCACCCCCAGCAGGCTTGAGATGATCACAATGGCACATAGGTAACTATGCAGGCTACTCCATTTCCATTCAGTCCTAATCCTTTAGGGTTCTAGCCCAGACTTGGGGTGTTTATCAAGGCCCCTTCTCCTCAGTGGGAGATAAAGTACAAATTTTATACTCACTCACCCCCTGCCCAGCCTCATAAGATTGTCCAAAACTCAACTGGGGCTTTTGACACCAGCAAATGCTTCCCGGGGCAAAAGGCTCCAATGCTGACTTCCACCTATCTGGACCTTTGCAGTTTGTCAGAGCCTTGGTCATTCCTCACAGCAAGAAGTTTGGTGGAACCTGATGTGTATTTTTTAAGTCGTATTATTCAGGGTGGCAGAGTTGGAATGGCATTTGGGGGTAGGGGCAAAAGCGATTGAAAAGTTGGGCAGGAGTGGGAGGAAGAAGAGCCTTAATGCCACACCAAGGGCCAGGGAATTTATCTTAATGAAAATGGAATCAGAAGGTAACACTGTCAGGTTTGTTTTATTAAAGATCATCCTGGAGCCAGTGAACAGATAACATTAGACTTGGTGTGTGGTTTGGGGTCATTGAGCCTGAAGGCAGGGCAGTCGTGTGCCAGTAAATGTTGACAGCTGGATCTCCAAAAGAGTTCTCATTAGTAGCATTTGCCAATTTTTCTGGTGTAAATACCCCCACCATGGATGACCTCAAGCCACCAGCCTAACAACACTGAATGCAGAGCTGGGAAGAGATGCTCACAGCAGATCTTGCTGTCTCCAACACCCTACAGAGGTGGGGAGATTGGGCAGCTTTTCATCTTTCTCAAGAGAAACATGAATTCCTATTTCCCAACTCCAGTCTCTCCCATCTCAGCCCAATGTTTCACCCCACAGGTCCTGTCCCCCTTACAGAAAGTAATCCCTCCTGACAAATCCAGTTTATCAGGACACTTCAGTGAATCTTGGTGCAGACGTTTTCAGCTGTGCCTAACTGGCCTGCATTCATGTCATGCAAGCACCATTTGTAAAAATTTAAGCAGCCGGCTTTGTGGTGGCTCAATCTCATATTTAGGTCCTTCAGGCAACTCTTACATATGTGTCACGGCACACAGCACACAATACGGGCAGTGCTGTTGTCCAAACTTTGGAAATTTTTACTAAGATAATAGTACAAAGTCTTTGGTTACTCTTTCCAAGAGATGGGTAAATATATCAGTACAAACAGGAGGAGGAAGGGCAAATATCTCACAACTTCTTTTTGTCAGCTTCCACCTACCCAGCCCTGCCAGGTAACCAAGTCAATTTTAACCAAATGCAGCAGCATTTGAGAAGCTCCCTAGGGCAGCAGGCCAGGCTTGGAAATAGATATCTTGGCATCTTGTCCCACCAAGCTGCAGCAATCAGGGTCAGTGCCCTCCTGGCCCGGGAATGGTGGTCAGGAGATTGTATATGAAGTCAACTGTTGTCAATCACTGCTTCATAAGAAGCATACTGTCCTCCTAGGCCTAAATGGCAAACTCACTGTGAATTTTTTATAAGCTTCTAAGTCTTCTAAGATGGTTTTGCTCCAGCAATTTCTAGATTTGATATGGGTCTGAGTTGAAAGCCATTATTTACCTGGTTATTTCGTGTTTCTAGAGGTACATGTTTGCTCTTGCCTTCGTGGCATAGATGACTAGGTTTATAAGGCAGCTAGCTTCTCCACGGGCAAACAGAGAGGGAGAGGGGCAGGAATTAGGTCGAGGTGGGCACAGCTGTGTTTCTGATCGGCTATGCTTCAGACTGTGTGTTCTGTTCTTTCATATGGATCTCAGTCCTCATAACAGCTATGCAAAGTGGGTATATTTGCACCCACTTTCGAGATGGGCATATACTCAACTTGCAGAATCAGAAATCAAGGCTCAGTGGACAGTCCGGGTGGCTCAGTGGTTTAGTGCCGCTTTCAGCCCAGGGCCTGATCCTGGACTGCTGGGACTGAGTCCCACGTCAGGCTCCCTTCATGGAGCCTGCTTCTCCCTCTGCCTGTGTCTCTGCCTCTCTCTCTCTCTCTATGTGTGTGTCTCTCATGAATAAATAAATAAAATATTTAAAAAAAAAGAAATCACTTGCTCCAGATCATGGCTGAGGCAGGATTTGCACCCAGTTGTTGTATTCCTTCCCACGCTGAAGTCTTGCCAGAAAGGCAGCTGACCTCTTTCCTCTGCTTGGTTGCACAGTGAATGGAAGCAAGACTTATATTTGTATTACAGTGTTCCCTTTGCTTTGAACTCATGTCTTACAGAGTAACGATTTATTCCACAATTGCTTGGAAATTTTAGGAGTTTGTTCGTTTTTTTGGTAGTAAGAAAAGGATGATTCTAAAAACTTACAGAGGTTAAAAAGAAAGCTCTTTACCTGGTTTTGGACTAGCATGGCCATTTACCCCGGTTTTTCCAGGACTTTCCAAGGGTTAGTACTGAAAGTCCTGCATCCTTAGTCTCTGGAAAACTGAGATGCTTGGTCACCTTATAAAACAAATCCTTAATCAGTGCTCATACCATCTGCTGGCTAGTATTGCAAATTGCAGGCATGATTAGCTGCTAATCATTGAGTCTTGCACTGCAGAAATGTGGCCCATTTTATTAGACAGGTAGATAAAGCACATAAGAACCAAGAGCCTGACCCTTCCACTCAGGGAGAAACTATGGCAGATGCAGTATTGATCAATCACTCCCCTTCTGATCAAGTTAATTTTTAGTTTAGCCATTCACATTTTATTTCCTCCAACTATGTAAGTCAAGATATGTCAACCTCTAGTAGTTTAACATTGGTTTCAAACTTAGGCTGTAAAAAGAGTTTCTCTTTCATTATCACCATCTGCACCTTCACGTCCTCTTCCTCCTGCCTTGCCTTCTTCACACGCATTAGCGGTGAGGTCAGTGGTGTTAGAGAGGAGGTAGAGGTCCAGTGAGGTAAGCACCATGCCCAGGTACATGCCCACCTCCGTCCTTGCTCCTCTGTCCTGGAGTTCCCAGCTCTTGAGGCAAACTCTGAATCTCTCCCTGGTCTCTCTTCTCAAGCCCTGCTCCTGGCTTCCCAGAAAACATGACTTCACTGGGCTTGCACCGCACTCATCTCCTGAATTCAAACTTACTCAGGACCTACTATGTGCCAGTTTGAGATATTTTGGAATGGACTGTTTTTAAGTATAATAGTTTCCTCACATTCTATCACCATCTGGTTCCAGGAGTGGCATCATCTTTACACATTTGAAAGATACATAAGACCATGAGCTGACATTTTAACCCATTCCACTGGAGACTGCCTCACCTACTGGGGTAAAGGGAAGGGTTTGCTGCCCTTGGAAGAACTGCTTGTGGTTTACAAAGCACTTCTCCATCCATGACCTCACTCAGTCTCTGTGCCTCTAGAGCACAATATGGTGGTTTGGAATAGACTGTCTGCAGTAGAGCCTGGCTCCTCCCCTTATAGTAGCTATCTGGCCTTGGGCAAATCACTGAATCTATCTGTGTCCAAGTTCCCACTTCTGAAACTGTGAACAATAATAGTGCTTCCTCATTGGGTTGTTGTGAGGATTAGAGGAGACAGGCCATGTAAAGAGCTCAGCAGAGTGCCTGGCTCATAAGCTTATGGAAGAATTGGCTATCACTGCGCCCGTGAGACCCTGAGTGTTGGCCAGTCTCCTCTTGACACTGAGAAGAGTGAGACCCAGAAAGGAGGAATCAGAGGTCAAGCATATAATTGGAAACCAAGTCTTCAGATCTTTTCTCTGCCCCACACAGGTCTTAACCAGAAATTGCAAACCAGTTGCCTACAGGTTGAATATTTTCTTTGTTCACTTTATTGTTTCATTTAATCAAAATACTAGACAGGGAAATCAGAATATCTGACTGCTCCTGAAAAAGGAGAAGTTCTAGCCATCTGGGCCTGCATTCTCATGAGAAAACCATCTGCTGGAGTGAATCAGTTCACAGTCCCTACCTTTCATACTACCCTTCAGATCTTGTGACCTAGTGCCCAATTGTGTCAGTATTTCTTTTTTTTTAATTTTTATCTATCTATGATAGTTACACACACACAGAGAGAGAGAGAGAGAGAGAGAGGCAGAGACACAGGCAGAGGGAGAAGCAGGCTCCATGCACCGGCAGCCCGATGTGGGATTCGATCCTGGGTCTCCAGGATCACGCCCTGGGCCAAAGGCAGGCGCCAAACCGCTGGGCCACCCAAGGATCCCTGTGTCAGTATTTCTCATTGAACTCACACTGTTCTTTCTCTCATCTGACAGAAATATTTTCCCAATTTCCATGTCTCTATCAATAGTGGAAAATGACCAATAGACTTGAAGAGCTCCATGACTTCTCTCATCATGGTCATACTTCCTCCATTGCCTGCTGTCCTGGTAGTCACTGGGCTGGCAGCCCCTGCCCTGCCACTGCCTCCACCTTGGCCAGGCCTCCCAGACAGGCCTGGAGCTACATACCCTTTACATTTCCCTGGAAGCTTGCTCTTCAGAGTCTGAAAGCATTTGGTAAACACTAACAGTAGATATTTTCCTACCCGTGCCTCAGATGGACAAGTAAGAGTGAAAGGAGCTTACGTGCAGCCATGGGAAGGGCCCAGTAGAATCCAAGGTCTTTTTCTTTTTCTTTTTTTTTTAAATCCAAGGTCTTCTAAGGTCTTCTGGCCTCTGGCTCCAGACTGAGCTGCTGCACAGAAAGAAGCACTGTGTGGTACCTGTGCTGCCAGTAACTCCCAGGGTAGAGCTGCTCCTTCTTTCCTGATTACCTGAGGAGAGGAAGGGGAAGGGCCAGGGCCTGCCTTCCACACACCCATGCAGGGCTCGCCAGACCCAGCTTCCAAAAGGGTGACTCAGGCTAATAGAAGCCAGACTGGTTCTTACCTCTGTAAAGCCAGAGGTCTCCCATGAGGAACTAAGCTGGCTTAGTAAGGCTGGATCTCAGCTTTGTGTCCAACCTCACCACCGCCAGTTCATGCACACATGCCCTTATCATCTAGACAACATGGGCTCACTTGGTCATGTGCCAGGAACTCTTCCAGACATTAGGGGAAAGCCAGATAAGGTCTCTGATTGTCTAATGGAGGAAGGCAGACAAGAAGCTAATAGACAAGAAACTAACTTTGCATAACAGCATGTGCTCTAGGGAAAGTAAAAAGTATGCTCTGTTTCTGAAGGACCCAGGGGTGGGAGCATGTTTTCTGTAAAGTGGCAGGGAAGGCTGATCTGAGAAAGTCACTTGTGGGCTGAGGTCTGAATGATGTCAAAGGAGTGGAAGAGTGTCCTGGGGGAGGGAACAACAAGCACAAAGGTCCTTGGGTGGGGATCTTCTTGGTTTATTTGGGGACCATGTGGAGGCTTATTTGATTGGGACACAGCTTATGGAGCAGCAGGGTGTCCATCCTTTCTTCCGGTTACCCTCAGGCTCCCCACCCCAGCTGTTGGCATAACACTGTCCACAAGGCTGGATACTCTCTCCTCACCTTCTCTATAAGACCCTATGTTCTAAACTTTCTCCTCTTTGCCATTCCAAGCTTGTTCTCTAGCTTCGTGCCCCTGGATCCTGGCAGCACAGAGCAGACAACTCAGGAATCCTTAAGACCATCTGAGCTGATGCATGGAGAGCAGTGGCAAGGGCCCCCTTGGCAAGCTAGAAGTTCTAGGTCTTGTCCCCAGGCCTGCAACTAATCAGCTCTATGATTCTGGAAGTGTCCCTAGATTAGGGGAAGGCTGGAGGAAGAAAGGGCATGCAGCCTATAAAATCCTTTACAAATTGTGTGCATTGAAACAGGGCCTTGCTCTAGGCAGTGCCTTAGGGCCCAGGGCAAGGGGAGAGTGAAGAGGCAGACCAGCCTACTGGCTACCTTCAAGCCTGTCTCTTCTGTTGGAGAAGGAAAGACCATGCTTACTTGCAGAAGGGCTCATCATTCATAAACCCCACAAGACAGGTCTATTGGAGTGCTTCACTTTCCCCTAACCCTGTCTCTGGGGGCTGGGCTCATTCCCAGGGTCCCTTCACTCAGCCCACAGGGCCTGAAGTCGACTGGGAGGTGCAGAGAGCCAGAGCTGGCCAGGGTGCCCTTTCCTGGGTACTCCTGACCACAGGGACTTCCCACAGGGCCTTCACTTCCTGTTCTCTTCACCCTTGGCTCATCAACTAGAATATCAAGGACTCTGAGTTTGGGCTGGGAATTTCTGAAGCAGCTTTTGCAGAGAAATGCCCATTCACTAATGAATCAGAAACAAATTTTGTAAACCTGGAAACTTGGGCATCAGGGCAGCTAGGGAATCTGCTTGTGCACACCATCTTGTCATCGTGGCATGCATGCATTATTACGTTGGGAGGACTACTCGGTGAGGCAGGCTCTGGCATCCAGGGTTTCAGGTCCTGACCTCACAAACCACATCTGTATGATTTTGGAAACATCTGTAAAAGGAGGGTAAGACTGCTACCCACCTTGTAGGATAGTTGTGAGGACTGAGCTGATAAGCATAAGATGCTAAGAACACAAGAAGCATAATCTAAGTAGTAGCTATAATTTCTGCAGAGCACAGGTCTGCTTTCTGCCTGGGGTGCTAAGAGCCCAGCCAGTCTTCTGGGAAGCAAGTAAACCAGGCCCCCAGTCAAGGCCAGGGATGGTGTGTTGATCAATGCACAAAACTGGCATTCCCTGCCAGGCCTGACATGGGGCACATTTATGATGGAGGGACCATTTGTGGGCACCGCCAACCCCTTGGGCCTGGCCCACTCCAGAACTCTCCTCTCCAGGCTTGCCACCTCTCCTCCCAGCATAGTCAGAGCACCTGATATGCCCAGAGCCATAAAACATCCCAGAGATGGGGAAGATTGCATTTGTGGGAAGCGCTGGCATCTGGGAACTTGGGAATTCTGGGTGGCTGGGCATCCTCAATGGTGGAGGGGGCTGCTTCTGAAGAACACAGAGGCACTCCACCTCGAGCACAATGACTGACCATTCAGTCAAGTATTGACCTGCCTGGGGCCAGCCTGCTGCACAAAGAAGAAGGGGGTGGGAGACAGATAGAAGATGGGGGGAGGTGGGAGGTGGGAGGTAACAAGAAGAGCAGGCCTCAGGAATGGAAGCATGAGATACTGAGGTTCGGTGTTATTTAGAGCCCATGTTTCAGACTGAGACAGCTGCAGGTGAGGTCTCATGGTAGAACAGATGCCAAAGCTCCAAGGGGAAGTCATCCACTGGGCTCCTGGCAGGGTCCCTGTGCACTGTGGGAAGCCTACGAGCATCAGAGAATCCCCTCACCACAGCCCTGGGCAAGAGGCATGGAGGGGGCATCCTGCTTCCTGCTAGTTTAGGTCCATGGATCTGAGTTGTGAAAAGAGACAGCAATGAGCTGTTCCCCAGGGTCTTAGATAAATACTAGTCCTTGCAGGGTTTCTAAGAGTCTACACAAGCAGACTTCAGGCTCGACTTGCAAAACAATCTCCTTTTTCCTCTGAATTCTAGCTACACAAGTCTCTTGATTTCTCAATAGCGCCTCTTCCTCCTGCCTCAGGATTTTGACATAGGCTCGTCCTCTGTGTGTGTGTGGAACTAGCAGTCTATCCTCACCCTTGAGACCTCAGGTCAGACACTTCATTTGTGTGATCCTCTGTGTGCCCTGGCATGTCACAGCAAAGATTGTTCTGTTTATCATTTCATCCCTGACTCACAGCACAGAACCTGCCACACAGACAAATGAGTAAAGGAATACATGGGAAGCCACCGCTCATGTATACAGTACCCCCCCCACACACACCCTTACTCATACATCTGTATAAAAGAGTAAGACTCCCAACATGACATTCAAAAGAGGTCACACATTGAAATACACAAGTTCACATCAATTACGGTTAAGATATGCAGATTCTCCTTAACCCCAAGATCTACTCTTCTGGGAACTACCCCGTCATCACCATCACAACTCTCAGGGCCAGTCGTATAGAAATGTACCTGACTTTGTCCCCAGGCCATGGCTGACAGGACCTCTGGTGGGCAGCTGCTTCCAACCAACTGACTGCCACGAGGGGGAACTAGAATGAAGAGAGGCTAGGCCATGTGGAAACACACTCAAACCAAGGACTTCAAAATCCACTACCTTTAGAGTGGCCACTTGCTTCAGAGAGGCAGAGAAAGCCCCTCTGAGGGGAGGGAAGAACAAAGCAGAGAGATGCAGAAGTGAGAAAGCAGAGGCCTTTGCCTGACAGATAATTACGACTGGCTTCCCGTCTCATAACCCCCCTGTTCCCAGGTAGTCTCTCATGAGGTCTGACTGCACATCCTATCACAGGGCCCTGTCTCACCAACTCCCCATTATGGTGGAAGCTAGCTCAAGCATGTCTGTCTCCTGCAACCAAAGCCTTCAATTAAACAATCCTGTAAAGGCCAACAAGCAAGATGGAAGGGAACTGAGAAGTCCATCAAAATGAAAATGCAAAGGCAGACACGAGCAAGGCACAGGCTGACAACTGGGAGGCCATTCCCCAGCTCTGCGCGGTACGCTGCCCTTCACAAAGCCCCTCCTCATGATCCACAGCTCAGTAGGGCCTGAGGTTTTCTCTGCCAGGCTCCTTGCCTCATGCTAGTGAGCTGCCCCTGCTTTTCTTAGCCCTGCCACCTTACCACATCCTCAGCCACAGTGCATGGGATGTGGGACCTGAGTCAGAATAATCTGAATCCTCCTGGTTTTGTTCAAGCTGATCTCAGGAACACAAGCGGTTCCTCTGACTTTCACAGCAGCCACATGGTAGATGCTGTCAGCCGGCTCAAGGTGGCGTTTCATCCCTTGTGACAACAGCTAACAATTGTAACAAAGCCCAATGTACATTCACTCCACAAAAATTTATGCTTCTCCCCCAACCCCCACCACTGCCAGGTGCTAAATGTCAGATCCTGAGGGGACAGAGGTAAGCAGGGCAGGTGTGTCCTTGTCCTCATGGACTTAATCTTCACACCCTTAGAAAACTACATCACAGGGTAATGTGTGTGGATAAGGGAAGCACAGGGTTTTATGGGAGCATAGACCAGGGGCACCCTACACAGGCTTGGGGGAGCAGCCAGGGGAGCAAGATGGGACAGGTAGGGAAGGAGGAAGGAAGAGAAGCTCCAAAGTGAAATGGGGGGTTAGGCAAAGTAGAGCTGAAGTATAGTGCTTGCAGGGAAAAGCAGCAGGAGCAGCCTACAGAGTTGGAGCCTCTGGCCTCCAGGCCCTTACCCATCTATATCATCATGGGCTCTAGATCTGGGGCAGCATTAGTGGCTCAAGAACTTGTGACAGGGAAGACTTGGGGTGCCAGCCTGGAGGCAAGAGAGGAATAGGCTAGCAAGTGTTCAATTTGCATTTTACCTCTTACCCTGTATGCTTACCTGGGAGAGGAGAAGCTGGGGGACCTGATGGTAAATATGGGGTCCTATTCCCACCCCCTCAAAATAATTTGAGCTAAAGTGGATCTCTGTAGGTTGTTTCATGTAACAGAGTGTCTGGGTCCTGGGAAGCCCTACCTCAAGTGTTAGTCACCTGAGAAAGCTTCCTTTTCTGAAGCCAGGGGCTTTTATGAGGAAAGAAGCATTCCAACCACAGTGTCTTGCGGTGCGTCAGAATTCCTGGAGAGACTGAGCCACAAGCCTCTCTGTGCTCAGTAACAGGAACACGATTGACCTGTGGTCTGTTGCAAAGAATTGCATCACTGGGGAAAGAAGGCTGTGCCCAGGAACAGAACAACCCAGAGTCTGGGGTTGCTCAGACCTAAAGGCTTCCCCAGCTGTCTGGATCCCAGGGCTGGAGGCCAGGGTCATGGACTTAGAACCCAGA